GACTCTCTGGCCCCTCAGCTTCCCATCCCTGACTCAGAACCTGGAGTGCCTTCCTCCTTGGTTCCCAGGAGCCTGCAGTGTCTGAGGTGGCCCAGGATCTGCAGATGAGGGCTCTGTCCAAGGGCATGCTTGTGAGAGGCAGCTCAGGGATGGTAATGAAAGGGCAGGGTCCCCAACAGATGACAGATGACAGAGCCTTGGCACTCACCATCAAACTGTGCCGCCTCCCCATAGCCCTCCTCTTTCTTTTCCTGGAACAGCTGGAGGCAGGCGCTGGGGCTGGCCAGGAGCAGCCGGAAACCCTGTCATTAAAAGGGATGAATGGCTCAGTGTATGGATCCAATAGATGCCAGAGACCCCCAAGCACAGAAAGCCCCACCCCCACCCCCCATTCCACCATCCAAGTGGTTATACCTCCAGGCCCTCTTCTGCACTAGCTTCCCTGCCTAGAGCCCTGCTCACTTTGGCTGCCAGGGAACTCAGTTCTTGCCTTCTACTTAATCCAGCTGTGTCCTTCCCTACTCTAGCTGCTCCCTGTACCTACCCCCATCAGAGCACTTGCCACACTGGGCCAGAATCACCCCCCATCAGGAAGCCTCTCCTTCCAGGGGAGGTTCCCTGAGGGCCATGCCCATCCCACTACCCTCTGTAAGAGCAGTGAATCTCAGTGGTTAACACAGAGACCAGAGCCTATATTAAGACTGGAATCCTCCCCTGCTACCTGTGGGCTGTGTGGACCTGGGGTGACTGTAGAGCCCTCCTGAACCTCAGTTTCCTTATCTCTAAAGTGGGGACAAGTTGAGCCAGTGGAGGTTGTGTGCCCTGATCCATCCCATCAGGCCAGGCAGGGCATCTGTGACTCAAGCAGAAATCTGTGTGATTGGGGCGGGGGGGGGGGGGGGGGGACACACGGACACAACGACACGACACAACACAACACGGGACGACAGACACCAACCTTTTGGTCAGAAGTGGGTACGAAGCTCAGGAATTCATCCACATGGCCCACTGAGAGCCAGTCAGAGTAGAGCTCTACAGGGGCCTGTACCTGCTGGGCGTGCAGAAAGTCGCGTACCACCCTGGCCATCTGCCGCCCGCTGGACCTGAGGGGAGAGACCCAGGGTCAGTCTGTGAGTTCAAGGCCAGCCTGGTCTACATAGTGAGTTCCAGGACAGCTGGGGCTACAGCGAGACCCTGTCTCAAAAAGACCAAAAGAAAAAATTTTTAATTAATAAAATCAACAAAATTAAATAAAAAATAAAGTGTGTGGGTTTGGTACATAGGAGGTCCTTGTTATCAATTGTTACTGGTGACCCTCCTGGCTCTTGGAGGGACTGGGGTCTGAGCAAACACTAATTTTGGGGATGAGAGGGCCAGCGAGGAACATAGAGTGTCCTCCTGGCCCAAGGCCTCACTCCTCCTCCAGGAAGCCTAAGCCTCTTCTTCTGATTAATAGACCTGAGCCCAGGGCATATGGGCCCCACAGGCTTGAGCCGGTGGAGGTTGTGTGCCCTGATCCATCCCATCAGGCCAGGAAAGGCATCTGTGGCTCAAGCAGAAATCTGTGTGATTGGGGGCGGGGGAACACACGGACACAACGACACAACACAACACGGGATGACAGACACCAACCTTTTGGTCAGAAGTGGGTACGAAGCTCAGGAATTCATCTACATGGCCCACCGAGAGCCAGTCAGAGTAGAGCTCTACAGGGGCCTGTACCTGCTGGGCATGCAGAAAGTCGCATACCACCCTGGCCATCTGCCGCCCGCTGGACCTGAGGGGAGAGACCCAGGGTCAGCTGCTTCATGCCCCTGTGCATCTTTTCTACCCTCACAACCCTCTGGATGGGTCCTGTTTACCAGAGGAGAAACTGAGGGTCAAAGCCCTAAGGTGACAGGCCTACACGCCTGCTGATTCCAGGCCCAGTGAGTTAAAGTCCAAGCTGAGACTGGAGCCATTGGGAGCAGGGGCAGAGAGGCTGTCCCAGGAGAATAGATGCAGACACCCCAGGTCAGGCCCGTGCCAGCCCCCAGGGTGCCCTCTCCTCACCCTGCAGGTGTCCCAGCATCCTGAGGCAGGGGACAAGTAGGGTATGGTAAATGCAGACCAGGCTTCATCCAGCCCTAGGAACTGGTCTTCATTCACCTCACCCCAAGTGCTCTTGGAGGCCAGGAAGCCCTATCCCTATCCCCAAAGAAGTCCTGGGAGACAGCAGCCTCTGCCAGGGGGAACCCAAGAGCCTTACCTCACAACCTGGATTCAGAGAGGTTGTGCTCTTACTCAAGGGACACGCAGCTTTTGCTCAAACTATGACCAGACTTAATGAGCCCTTTCCATCCCAGAGTCCTGTGTATACATGGCCCACCGAGAGCCAGTCAGAGTAGAGCTCTACAGGGGCCTGTACCTGCTGGGCATGCAGAAAGTCGCATACCACCCTGGCCATCTGCCGCCCGCTGGACCTGAGGGGAGAGACCCAGGGTCAGTCGCTTCATGCCCCTGTGCATCTTTTCTACCCTCACAACCCTCTGGATGGGTCCTCTTTACCAGAGGAGAAACTGAGGGTCAAAGCCCTAAGGTGACAGGCCTACACGCCTGCTGATTCCAGGCCCAGTGAGTTAAAGCCCAAGCTGAGACTGGAGCCATTGGGAGCAGGGGCAGAGAGGCTGTCCCAGGAGAATAGATGCAGACACCCCAGGTCAGGCCCGTGCCAGCCCCCAGGGTGCCCTCTCCTCACCCTGCAGGTGTCCCAGCATCCTGAGGCAGGGGACAAGTAGGGTATGGTAAATGCAGACCAGGCTTCATCCAGCCCTAGGAACTGGTCTTCATTCACCTCACCCCAAGTGCTCTTGGAGGCCAGGAAGCCCTACCCCTATCCCCAAAGAAGTCCTGGGAGACAGCAGCCTCTGCCAGGGGGAACCCGAGAGCCTTACCTCACAACCTGGATTCAGAGAGGTTGTGCTCTTACTCTAGGGATACACAGCTTTTCCTCAAACTATGACCAGACTTAATGAGCCCTTTCCATCCCAGAGTCCTGTGTATCCCAAAGGGCAGGGCCTGGACCATTTGTACATGGAGTCAGACTTGGCAAGGGGCAGAGCTTGCATCAAAGAGGCCTCCTGGGCCAGCCTTTGACCCCTGTGGAATCTGAGCAGGTACACTTTGAGGAGCAGTTTACAGTGTTCCAAGGTTTGAAAAACCACGGCCCCAGGCATTTGGGGTTCCTCAAGGAGTTCTTGACCCCCAGGAGTTCTTGAGATGGGATCTAGCATTTCCTCATCATTCTTTACCAGCCACAGGGTAGGGGTT